CTCCTCCCATTCCCTCCCAGCCAGAGGATTTGGCCCTTCCCCTTCCCCTTCCTCTTACAGATTTCTCATCAATACATATATAGATCACCTACCAACAGCTCAGGGCTATATACCTAATGCCTTGACCTTTTTGACTGTACCCTGTGAATACCCCTCTTTAGAGGGCAGGGAAGACCACCACCTTTTGGGCTTTTTTGATGTCTCCTCAAAACAGCTTTCCTAGAATGCATTTTGCCCACCCTTTCCATCTTTTGTCCTACTCTTTGAGAAATCTTGAGTGCATACTGCAGGACTTGTTACTATTCTGCTTTTCATTACTTTGATGGCTTGTAATTTTTTGAGCATCTCTTCAAATTCTCTTGCTCTCCACATTTTGGGTTTTACTGTAGGCAGGTGTTGAGACCTTGTGAACCAAGGGTGTGTGTGTGTGTGTGTGTTAAAGACAAAGAAGTAGATAATTATTAAGCCCATCAGCTCACCTCCTTTGGGGATCTACAGCCCATTCGCCGTCCCATTTCCAACCTGTGGGTAGCTGGAACTTGTCTTTGGGGAGGCTGACCTTTCCGGTCACATCTGAAAAGTTGGGGTGCGGCATCAGGTCCATGGTTCCCCATATTCCGTGTGTCTTCTTTTGGTTTTCATACTGAAAACACCAGAACACAAACCCTCACTGTGGTGCTTTGTGGCTTGTTCCTTCCCATCTCCAGGTCCCTTCCCTTAAATGTTGCCATGTGGAAGGACCTAAGAAGCATGACTTCCCCATGGTTTCCCTGGCTTTTTGGAACAGACCCCCCCCCGAGATTTGGAGGGCCCCTACCCTCTTACGTAGGACGGAAGTGAGTCCAACAAAGGTAAAGTTGGTAGGATACTGTGGCGCTGAGATGTCTTTTGTGGGGTTTTGTGGGCTTATATTTATTTTTTTGTCTTTATGGAATGCTGTTTTGAGATAACTAGGACTATCATGGATAAAATAGGTGGCCCTATACGTTTTTAAAAAAGAAACAAAGAAACAAAACTTCCTCCAAGGAGAAATATACACAAGCGCATCTCTATCCCCCAAAGGTTCCATCTTAACTGTAGGAGAATGGAGAAGATTCTGGTAGACAAAGCCATGTTTTCAATGAACCTGGTAGCTCACCAGAGATTTTAATGCAGTCCCCACCAGCTAAGAGTTACCTGGGCTTTTCCCCTGAATTCTCCTGCCTCCTCTCACCGTTTCGGCATAGACGGCGATCCTCCCTTCACAGCATTTCATGAAGTCTGCGCTGTCAGTCATCCGCCCCATCCACATTCGAACCCGGAGCATGGCGGGGATGGAGTTGTCATTCCCTTTGCTTTGCACATCCTGGGAGGTGGGTGGGTGAGAACAGAAACATTATGCGCATCACATTCCTTTTATTATTAGGACTGCAAATGACTTGAGAGCTGCTTCCAGGCGGAAGTATGTTGCTTTTCATTGCTTCTACAAAACCCAGGATGTGTTGGATCCTTGATATTTTCAAGATAGCCGAAGAACTTGAATGATGTGAAAGCTCTGAACTGAGAACTGCTAATGCAATGTCATTGTTGTTGTTGTTAGCTTTTAAGTCAGTGTGGACTCCTGACAACTGCCTGGAGAAGTCCCTGGAGTCTTCTTGGCAACATTTTTGGAAGTGGTTTGCCCTGGCCTCCTTCTTCCTGGGGTTGAGAGAAAGAGACTGGCCCAAGGTCACCCAGCTGGCCTTGTGCCTAAGGTGGGACTAGAGCTCACGGTCTCCCTGTTCTTGGTCCAGCACCTTCACCACTAGATCAGACTGACTCTCACACTGACTTTGAGTCATACTTGACTCCTGGTGACCTACATGGACATGTCTCTGCAGTTTTCTAGGCAGCATTTTTTGAAATGATTTGCCCTGTAAATACAGATGAAGCTTTGCTCGCTCATCCGCTGCTCACCTCCTGCTGTGCGGCCTGGTTCCTAACAGGCCACGGACCGGTACCGGTCCACGGCCGAAGGGTTGGGGACCCCTCTTCTAGATCACACTATTTCTGCTACATAAATTATGGTGGATTAAAAGATCTCCCAATTCATCTAGAGGCATAGCTTTAAAAAACAGGTGAATCCCGGCCCAGGCAGCTGTTGTAAAAGAATATAGAGATGACCTTGGAATGCAGGCGTTGTTAATGGAGGTAAAATGGCCAGTCAGTCCTGGGAAAGCAGAAAGCATGAGGAAGAAATTCAAAATAACCTTGTCTTGATTCTCTTGAGTATAAGAAGGGGCAGCAGGAAACATTAGCAGACTTTCAATTTTCTATTATTATACCCTACAGCAGTAGAGACCTAGTAGTCCTTGGGGTGTCTGTTTCCTAACCTGGACTACCTCAGAGGGCCGATAGCTGTAGAAGACTTACACAGTTAGGGAGACACCTTTGAAATATGACACTTCACTGCTTAGTTGGCTTTACTTGAACCATCCCTATCTTGTGGTATCAAATTTGGCTTGGATTTGGTGTGATCAATTTTCAGAGCAGACCCAATGAGAATGTAAGTGCGGCACCCACATATATCATCTGTTCAATCAAATCCCTATTCCATTGTATATGTCAAGCAGGCCAGTCGCACAGATTGCTGTCCTTCCCTGAGGATAAAGTCCTGGACCAACCCATATAAAATTTTCTTCCTTGGTAGAACTGCCTTGAACAGAATGGGAGCTGGCATGGGAAGGGGTGAGCTCTCCTTCACTGGAGGCTTTCCAACAAAGCCTTCATGGTCATCTGTGAGAGATGCTGTAGTGCAGTGTTTTTCAACTCTGACAACTTTAAGATGGGTGGGCTTCAACTCCCAGAATTCCCCAGCCAGCATGGCCACTGCTGAGAATTTTGGGAATTAAAGTCCACTCATTTAGAACAGTGTTTCTCAGCCTTGGCAACTTTAAGATGTGTGGCCTTTAAGATGTGTGGCCTTTATGTTGTGTGGACACAACTTTAAGATGTGCGGACTTTAAGATGTGTGGACTTCAACTTCCAGAATTCTGGGAGTTGAAATCCACAGTGCTGGCTGGGGAATTCCAGGAGTTGAAGTCCACACATCTTAAAGTTGCCAAGGTTGAGAAACACTGCTCTAGTGGATCCTGCTAGATGATCTTTAAGACCCCTTCCATCTTCATGGTTCTATAATTCTAGGAAACATGGAGGGGTCTTTTGAGAACTAGAAACCCTGATAGTTTAATTCCTTTGTTTAGTGCAGCAAAAATGACCAGAACCCAGCTAAATGCTTCTTGTTACCTGTAGGAAGATGGTATGCGTTTTGCCACACAGCCTGCCTTTGGCATAGGGGCCAGCTTTGGAGAACATGATTGACTGGGACTTCACCCGGGCATAGGCAACCCGCTTTTCATCCCACAGCATCCAGATCACCACATCTGGGATGCTTATCTGAGCCTGAAGAGAAGAGAAGAGAAGAGAAGAGAAGAGAAGAGAAGAGAAGAGAAGAGAAGAGAAGAGAGGCAACTATTCTTTCCTGATCTCATACATGCATTCCTTTATAATCCTGCTGTTTTCTGGTGTGCTGAGATGAAGCATGAGTGGACTTGGGGAAGGCTGCTCTATTTTATAGCCAACTTTCAGAGACAACATTCCCATCCATCTCTCCTTTCATGCCATGACGATGAAGCAGGCAGTCACATCATCAGGCAAGTTCTACCCTTGCACTGTGACTTTGCAACACTATCCCCAAAAGTGATGCTTTTTGTCATTCTGATTAAAGCACTGAGAGCCTGAGGATGACACTGCTAACACCTGGTATCTCCTGGGAATGGTCTCAGAGACAGATGGAGCATGAACACACCACTTGTGCTCATCCTGTCCTTTGTCCTTTCGTGAGAAGGGGCAACTGCTTCCCCTTCCCTGTGTGAGAGTTAGCTCTCACAGTGTCACTGAAAAGCAACATGACCATTGCCAAAATAAGGGACAGATGGAAAATGGCCTTCCCATGCAAAAGAGGGGGGCATCCTTTGTTACATAGGATGGGACCAGGAGAGAGGCGCAAAAACGTTGGAATATTGTTCATCTGTATAGGCCTTGCTCTTGAAGCACTGCAGTTTAGAATCATTTGGTCCTGGTGCCCTAATCTTCCTTCAAAACTAATCAAGAGTTTTTGAATTGGGTGAGTTGCATCATCTGATCCCCTACTCCAGCTTTCAGCTGAGCTCTGGGCACATCTGAGGTCAGCTTGTGGAGAGGACAAATTGAGGAAAGGCATTTTGGAGTTAAAGAACTTTAAAGGTAGAAGACATCTTCATGGAGCAGACCTCATTGTCCTGACAGTCCAGCCCCCTCCATCCTCCCCCTGCAGAAGCTGCCACAGGAAGTACCTCAGATGTAATTGAGGCAAGCTGATTCAGCCAACCCTCTGCTTTAGGGATGAGTTTCTGCAAGGGGGTCTTCCAGCTGGTTTTCTCTGCAGCCTTGCTGATTTGCTGGAGCACCCGGACACGCAGTTTCCACAGCTGTTGATCCAGGACAGTCACAGCTTTCTGGTTGTTCAAGCCAGGTAGGGGCTTCCTGAAGATGGAGCAAGGGGAAGAAGAGTCAGAGAAAGATGGTGGCTCAGGAGATTGATGTCCCGTGGATTCCAGCCATAGAACCAAATTTGTAGGTGGGTACAGACAGGTGATGCTTTTCTAGCTTTGGGGTTGTTTAAGAAGATGTTCTCCACCAGCCCTCTTTCACCAATGGATCATCTCTTCCCACTGCTACTTCTTTGCTTGACTCTTTCCTCTGGGTCATGTTTGCATGAAACCCAGGTTAGTTCTAGGCCAAGAAATGTGCCTGCATTGTTTCCTAGCCGTTCTTATTCATTTGAATGTATTTTCCAAACGTCTTTCAAAAGAGAAGAGAATTTTCAGTTAAAGTCTCAGGGGTGGGATGTATTGCTTTTTTTGCATATTTGGTCACTCTTTAGGAGAAGGGTATCATGTATCTTAAGAAACATTTCCTTGAATTTGTTTATGGAAGGGATAATAAAGAATAAATACAGTACCTAAAACTTGAGGCCACCCTGAGAAATGAATTAGTTTGCTAATTCAAAGTCTTTTTTAAAAAAGCGTTTGGCTTTTGCATAACAACTCACTGAAGATATTTCCTCTGGTTAAGTCATGGTTAGCTCTCTGAAGATTTGTTGAATAAGCTAGACTTGATTGGATTAGAACAACAGGCTAAACTATAAATGATGGCTTACAAATCATAATGACTGGGTCCATACTGTCAGATTCAGCCGGCGTGGCACGGCTAGGGACTTGCCCAGTGGCGCTTAGTCAGTTTCACCACCCGAGTGCCAGCGGAGAAAAAGGGGAAGTGAGAAACCGTGAACTGATTAATGGGCCAGCTGGCGCCGCTTAACTAAACCACAAGCGGAAACTTTGTGTCAATGCCAATTTGCCTTGGGCACTGCAGACAAAGGGGAGAGCAGCGGCTCGGAACAACAAAACAATCAGCGCGTGATTGAGAACTCCCGGTTTTGCGCGCAACAGGAAGACCCAACGAAGACAACAACCACACCATCGATAAGAAGCAATCAAGAACACAAAAGAACTGGACTGAATCTGCCATTTGAGTGAAGGGGGGGATTACTGTGGGTAATCTGTATCCAAGCAACAGGGGCTAAGCGCAGGAACTGGGGGACTATAAATGGTACTGTAAGATGTGCCAAGCCAATCCTGGCTTTGTCTGT